CCCCCCCCCGGTTAACTTGAAGAAAGGGGCAAGAGTTTATAGCGCTCAGGTTCTTATTCAATAATAAAAATGGGGGCGAAGAAACCATCAAACGTCTTGTTTTTGGGTGCTCAAGTATTTCGCAAGGTGCAGATGGTTGCAGTGGATTTGATTTTGGTTTGGCGATAAAGTTACTCATATTTATCGGTTATAAACATATTGGACCATTCAAAAATTCTAAGTTCAAACTTAAAATAATACTAGAGAACTATGAAAAAGTTTAAGAAATATTTATAAATTACATCATAATAAATATTTTTATGTACAAAATATTTTTAAAACTTATGTACATCTAATATCGGGTTGGTTTGATTTCTTTTAGTTAAAATCAAGCTAAACCAGTTATGATCTGGGTTTTTTCCCAACAACAAACCAAATTATAGTCGGATTTTTTTCGGTTTGACTTGGATTATCACAAGTTGCGGGTTTTCTGTTTTCTTTGCACACCCCTAATCATAATAAGAAAAAATGTTATATTTGGCAAAAAAAAAATAGTATAAAGATGGCCAAAATGAATCAATAAATCATCATGGCATTACCTCCAGATTTTGCCTCACTTGGCTAATTTTGGAAACATTCATAGCTGCTCAATATTTTGTAATGCTATATCTCCTACTTCTCATAGATCTGATTGATCCCTATGGGACGGCGAATGTTGTATGTTGTAATGCTACTTAGCTTTAGTTAAATAAATATCTTTCTTAATAAAAAATAAAAATAAAATGATGGTTGATAGTCTCTTAAGTTCCATTTGTTTATTGAAATGTCACAACTTAAAGAGTAAGATGTCCCTGAGTCTTAACATTCACATTGTTTAAAGTATACTCAAATTCTCATTAAAGACATTGCAATTTCCTTTGAGGGTCATACAATCATACGTTATGTTTTGAAGGGGAGCCTTGGCGTAACTGGTAAAGTTGTTGTCATGTGACCAGGAGGTCAAGTGTTTGAGCCGTGGAAACAACCTCTTGTATATATGCAGGGTAAGGCTGCGTATAGTAGACCCTTGTGGTCCGGCCTTTCTCAGGACCCCGCGCATAACGAGAGCTTAGTGCACCGGGCTACCCTTATAATCATACATTATGTCCCACAATAGACATCCTCAGCCTATATGTTGAAGATTGTGTGGTGACCAAACGTATGCAGTGCGCTCCGTTGCTGCTTTTAAAGCTTCATTTGAGCTAGATCAACCCAGAGATATTACCCTTTAGAATGGTTAAGCAGAAGCAAATGACATTGGCGAAAAAGGCGAGGATATTACCCTTTCCTCGTGGCATAATGCTTTTTCCGCTAACTGTTGGACTTTTCAGTATAGAGGATCAACCCTTTTAGTTGTTGATGCAAGGGTAACAATGTTCCTGTCCTAAAGAGGTACCAGCACAATTTTATGTGTTCAATTCTTTCCCTCAACAATGTTCCTGTTTATTCTGACTGTTTAGCCTCTGCTGGCATAATATACCTCAACAAGTTTTGTATAGATCAAGATTAGTAACTGTGGCTGCATAATCTATTCTTCCATCTTCTACTGATTGATCGCAGCTTGTATAAGAGAAATCTTGATTTATTTTAGGTAATTGGATCTTGTGGAATTGACCTGTTTATTCACATTTATGTGACTGAAATTAAATGCACTCTTCAAGATCTTGGATCATTGGCATTATTTTGTAACTTGCAAGAATCCAACAGAAACTTTAGCTTCTAAGATCATTATTGATAGGTTCACTGAACTAATAAGCAAACATGGTTGAGAATGTCAAGACTTGTAGAAACAATAAACATTTTATTATCTTTTCATTATGCACATTAATGATCAATCAAAGAGAAAGTCACAATCTATCCTAGTGAATGATAGCCTCATGCTGTCAAAGTCAAAGCTGATATAAAAATATTGTTGTGCCCAAACACCCAGTATGCTAAAAGGAAGCCTTTCTGTTTCAGATATTTTTACCGACAGGCAGAAATGGTCATTTCTTGCCTTGTGAAACAATTTTTCAGCTGTCAGCTCCATATCTGCATTTTCAGCAAAATGTAATGTTATCTTTGGCAAGTGTTGAAGATCGTGGTTGAAATTTCCATTGTAGCAGAGTTGTTCCGGACCTTTGGCAACTTCTTTCAACGTTGTACCTACCACAGATTTAATTTCCTCCTTCAATTTCTTGAATGCTATCTCAGGTAAGTAAGTTGAAGTTGCTCCACTGTCGACAAGCATTCCACCATTGTAATCGATCCTCTTGAATATACTTGGGTCGATGTCAAGAAACTTGTCCCCGACACTGATTCTTTCTAAATTTATATAGTATTTTCCCAGAACCATAAACATCGGAGTGGAATTTTCTTCAATTATAGGCTTGTCTCCCAAAACCAGCGCGTTTGAGTCATAATTCACATCACTTATATTACCAATACAATATGAAAATCCAGTGTAATTTTGTTGAGAAACCAATGAAACAGGTCGCTGTCCAAGTCCAAGAACTCCACTGCAACCATCTGCACCTAGAGAAATACTTGAGCATCCGAAAACAAGACGTTTGATGGTCTCTTCGCTTCCATTTTTTGATTGAAATGTCACGACTTCAGAAGCAAGATGTCCCTGAGACTTACCTTTCACATAGTTTAAGGTATAGTCACATCTCCTGGAGAAACCACATGTGCCTTTAAGAGTCATAAAATCACGCATAGATGTCTCACAATACACATCTTCAACATACGATGAAGAATCTGCATTCTGGTATAACGGAGCTGGTGAGGCTTCACCGCCAATGGTGAACCCACAATGGACCCAAAGTAAGAAACTGCCTGTGTCCATGATAAGAATTTGTGGCACTGGAGGTGTGCCATTCTTTAATGGAATAAGAAACTGAGCGCCATAAACTGGGTAAATTTGAACTTCAACGACATCTTTTATCATTACATTTGAGACAACAACCATCAGATCTGAAATGCGAGCTTTTGATCTTTGGTTCATTTTTCTCACACGGTCTTCAAGTGTGAGTTTTGGATTATAAAAAGGCGACTTGATTGATTGATTCATAACGGATCATTTTTATAACAATCCTACTTTTCTTGGTTTCATGATAGGATGCGAAATTGGATGTGGTTAAATAAGGTTGTAGCAATAACAATACTACAAGAAACAATTCGACCATTTTGAGAAATTAAAGGGAGAGCTGTTGAGCTTTTCTCTTTTCTTCTACTTTGAAAACTATAGAGAGGGACAAAGAAATAGGCCGGTACATAGAACAATGTGATAGTTTTCTTTTATACAGTAAGCAATTCTTTCTTGTCAGTTGGAATAAGAGCATTGTTTCAATGAGTTAACTGCTAATTAACAACTTAAACACAAGTATGGTGTTGTTACCAAACATATAGGATCACATATTTTGTGTGCCCATTCTTCATTAGAAGATGATGATTACAGAAAATTGAAGGGGAAAAAGAAAATAATGGAAAGAGCACACATTTGATTTGTGCAAACTTTGTTAAACTTGTAATGCTAGGGATTCGATGTAATCAAGATAAAATGACATAAATTTGTATTTCTCTGTCCCATACTTTATGGAACTTATTATTTGCAGGAATGTGTTCAAACGTTTTTGGATATAACCATAAAAAGTTGTGATTTGATTTATGTATAGTATATCATTGCCTATCAGTAACAAAGCTCAGCAACTTCAAGTGCGAGTTCGTCCATTCCCTAGCTTGACACTATCTCCATTTACATTGTTTTACACCTGTATGGGTCAAAATTAGGTCGAGTTTAGTGAATGCAAACGGACGAGCTGAGGCCGAGGTCGAGGTCGAAGCCGAGCACGGCCCATCGGCGAGGAGTAAAAGAGACCAGTGCCGAGGTCGAGTAGAGAACAAACAGCAGCAACGGTTAAAATATTCTTAGTATTATGAAAAGGAATATTCTTGAATATTTCTCAAATTGTACTTTTTTAGGGTTTTCTAGGAATATCCCTTATAAATAAGAAGAGATTGGGAACAAAAAGGGATCTTGATTGTTCTGATAAGAACATCTTGTAAAGGGTTGACTATCAAGAATATACAAAAAGCTTGTCTTGTCTCCTCTCTTTGTTTCCATTGTTAAACATTCCTTTTTTACTCGCAAGATCCAAGAATACGTTGTCCATCTTCATAGTCTGTTGTCCCAAGCTATTGTCAGAAGAAGGAATCATCCAACTCATTCAACATTTGGGTGACAAATTCCTTCTTATTACATTTAATTCCATTTGTCACATATTGATATCCAATTTTTCTCTCATATTTTTAAAATATATATATACTTTCAAAAATAGTATATTTGCATCATCATTTAGTTTATAAATCTATGCAAGCATTTTTCATAATTTTTAAGAGCTTTAAATTAATTTCTTCCTCCATTTTATTGTATAATTACCCTTCAAATTATTTTTATGATGATTTAATCATCCAAAACTTATAATTTACACCAACATGTATGTTTTACTTCGTTTTTTCATAATTATATTTGTATTTTTAGGCTAATTGCACATTTTTACAATAATAACATATATTCATGTATAATTACATTATTTATGCCAAAATAACTTTTTATATTTTTATAATAGCAAGTTATTATTTTCAATCATTTTAGTATACAAATAATATTTTTATTATTTATTAATTACTTTTATAAATTATTTTTTAATAAATATTGGGTATTTAAAAATTAGCCCCAATTTCTAAACAATTTCGGACCAAATAATGGCCCAAAAACCCCAATACCCTAGCCCAATAACCCCAGACCAAACCAATAACCCCTTAACCCAAAAAATCTGGTAGGTACCCTTTTAAATAACCCGTCCCGCTTCCCCTTTTGATCCTGGCCGTTGATCTCAAATGATCAACGACCCATAATAAACTTACCTATCCCTTTATATCCCATCACCCAAAAAACCCTAACCCATTTCACCTGTCCGCCGTCTCTATACACTCTCAAACCCCTCCCCCTCTGAAGAACCCTAAAGTCGCCGCCCCTCAAATTCTTCTCCTAATGCCACCAAACATGGGATTTGATTGCTATTACTTACCATACTCGGCCCCTCTTTGGTACTAGCTATTCTCCTATAGTGCTTGCCTAAACATGGCAAGCAGATCTCTTCAAAATCGAACCAAAATTAGATTAAATCTTTGATTTTGAGTATTATTTTGTCTATATTCGTCCTATGCTACTGTGAGTCCGATTTTTGTTTATATTCTGTCGATATTTACTTTCCCTAAAAAAATAGGGTTTACAGATTTCTTAAATTGATTTTCAGACCTATTTGTATATTTATTTTCCTTTTTTGTTGCTTAAATCACTCTGTTACCGTTTGATTCTTATTATTATATAAACCCCTCCCCCATTCCCTTCTAGACAAGACTTCAATCATAAATTTAAACTCAAAATATTAGGAATTTTACTCTGTGTTCGTTTATTATTTTGTTCTGTTTGGTTTATGGCCACCTGAAAGCCAAGGCCACCGGACTTCCTACTTTTCCGACCTTTCTTGGGTGTGAGCATTGCCCTGGGTTCCTGAAACCCTTGAGAACTTGACACATCTGAGATTCTGGGTCCTGATTGCTGTACTTATCTTGTTTGTTGAGCAATAATTGGTTAGTTCTTAACATTCGCAATGTTTATTCCATTATATTCTAATTAGCATATCTATGTTCTCTGAAATTGCATGACTTGATATAATTCTTTGACTTTCTTCATGTGTAATTCTGCCTATAGCATGAACTAGCATCGTCTCACGCCTAAACTGTTAGCCCTATAAAATGTCTTTGTATCTAACTTAGGCAATTTGTACAGTTTGAAGCATGTTTAGCTTAATGTTATTGATAATCTGAGTGTTTGCCTTGATTAGATGACCTAATCCATGTTTCCTGTCGGATTCTGAATTTCTATAGTAATTAATTTATGTTATTAGTATGCCCTAATCTGTTAAAACCTTCACTCTAGTTGTAATTTGATCCTATGACTATGTCTGTCACTTAGTGTGTTCTTGACCTACCCAATTATGCACTCCTAACAACCGGTTATCCTTTAGACTAGCTTTTCTTGACTGGTACCCTCTGTGATATCTAATTCTGTTTATTTCATCGAGTATAAATTGTTCTGTTAATCCCTGGGTTTAGCATAATTTGATCCTTGAGGTTGAACTTGTTAATTTAGTGTTAATTAGCTAACTTGATGTTCCTTTATTTATCAGTATGTAACAAATATACCCTGCCCCAATGTGTTATGTGACAACTTGCAACATCAACTTGTTTTCTCGAGTTCTGCTCCTATGTGTTTTGTTAGATAATATTCCTATAGGACACAAATAATCTCACCTGTGCACATGTTTATTTTCACACATTTTTGACTGCCTATTATACTACAATACAGTAATTATTTATTCAAATTGCTTCACGTAGATATCATGCCTATAGGACTATAATCGAATTAACTATTGTTATTGTTATTCCCATCATATTGCTAGCCTAGAAAGCATGCCCATAGGAATGAAAAGATTAAAAAAATCAGTTTTAATTGCCAATTCTTAGAAATCCTGCCTGTAGGATCCTGTTGCTCGCCTAAAAGTATGTAGATAAAAAATCAAACGCTGGTAATTTTGACCTACCAATTATTTCACTACTTTACTGCGCAAACAAGTTAGAAAGTATGCTTATAGGGTTTGTAATACTCTCAATCTGCAAATTCGTGTTCTAAGCAAGCAACGCTGCATGTACGTTTAAAATTCAGAATCACCTAGAAGCCATGACTATAGGATCTAAAGACTCTATTCTCTATTAATTCTGAAATTTGTCACTTGCCTAATAGGTAAAAACCTGTTTGTGTGCATTTGTTGCTTATAGGTGGAGGCCAACATGAGCCATTTACTGCCCTTATGTGTAGTCCTACATTTTTTTGAATGTCGCTTAGATTTATCACTTTGAGCAACCTAAGTTAAGTCTAGAACCACCCAAAATAGAGGTCCAAATGCCTCTTGGGCCATAGGCATGGGACGGGTAGTGCACGCATATGGCACGATTTAGAATCAATTAGTGCGCTCTAGGTAACAAACTTAAAGATAGTAATCGGGTAGCAGGAGATGATAGTCTGTGCCCGCTGAATAATACGAGTAACACCCCATCTCAAAGGAGTTACGAAGTATTATTTATGTTGCACGGGGTGATCCTTTAGGCTAAAAAACTCAGGACCCTGCATATTGCTTTTAAATTAATTATTTGTATTTATTCAATGTCTTTTGATAATAACTGCCCAAACTTCTTGTTTTTCTCTCTGTTTATCTGACTAATTCATATAATTTGAGTTTGGCCGGGACCCACAGTTGTGGACCTCGAAGAGTACCTAACACCTTCTATTCGAGGTAATTTGAGCCCTTACCCGATCTTTGGTGACGCAAACTGGTTAAACCAGAGTTATCTGCAAATAGGTGTCCTAATGCACCTCAAACCCGTTAGGTGGCGACTCTCTCTTTTAACACCTCCTTTAAAAGAGTTGTCACGTGTCGAAACCAGATTTTGCGAGAAAAAAGGGCGCGATATCACATTTATTGCATGTTTTCATTCTCATATTTATTAATAATCATTGGGCATTAACTTGGTATACATTGACTTGAGCACGATCCCGTACCGTCAAAATTATCGAACTTCAGATCTAAGATTTATTATATTTAACTAAGATTCACCCATTATCTTCTTATTAAATTGGTTTAACAAAAAGGGCCTAAAACTTTTTGGTCAAACAATTTGGGGCCTTATGTGGGGAGTTCCTAGTTAAAAATTTTAGTTTCTTCTAGATCTAATATAAACAACAAAAGCTTTCTTTTTCTTATTTGCACAAGCTAACAATGGCAGGAAAAGGAGAGGAAAGACCAAAAGTAGTGGTGGGTCACTACTAACCTCCTAGGCACCATCAACAAGGTTGGCAAAGAAGATGAGGAGAACGTGACGCTGAGTGCCTCACCCAGGCGAAGTGACTCACCTCCCCCTCATGGGAGTGTAACCAACTGTTTCACTGCTTTACTGCGCAAACAAGTTAGAAAGTATGCCTATAGGGTTTGTAATACTCACAATCTATAAATTCGTGTTCTAAGCAAGCAACACTGCCTGTACATTTAAAATTCAGAATCACCTAGAAGCCATGACTATAGGATCTAAAGACTCTATTCTCTATCAATTCTGGAATTTATCACTTGCCTAATAGGTAAAAACCTGTTTGTGTGCATTTGTTGCTTATATGTGGAGGCCAACTTGAGCCATTTACTGCCCTTATGTGTAGTCCTACATGTTTTTGAATGTCGCTTAGATTTATCACTTTGAGCAGCCTAAGTTAAGTCTAGAACCACACAAAATAGAGGTCCAAATGCCTCATGGGCCATAGGCATGGGACGGGTAGTGTACGCATAAGGCGCGATTTAGAATCAATTAGTGTGCTCTAGGTAACAAACTTAAAGATAGTAATCGGGTAGCAGGAGATGATAGTCTATGCCCACTGAATAATA